GCAAAAAGTTTTGATTTTCAGTCATCATCAGGCTAATTTCGAGATTTTTTCAATTTTCAATATAATTTTGCTGTTGATCCTGCAGTCTGCAATTTACAATTAAATTTTGTGGCTGTTAATGGAGGCCTCGGTATGGCATTTATTTTTTCAAAAACAAGTAAAGTTAGATATTCACTTTTGGACGCATTTAGTAGGGCAAAGTGTGTTCTATATGAGGGAAAAGTTTCGATTCTCAGCCATCATCAAGCTGTTTTCTTTTAATTTCAACTACTTAACGGTTGTTTCTGCAGGCCTCAGTTTGCCAGTTACTTTCGACACTTTTAGATGTATTTATTCAAAGACTGTTAAACTTTTCAACTAGACAATTTTGAGCACTCAAGTTCAATTTTTAAGCGCAAAACTGTGATTTTCCACTCAAAACAGTTTCAAGAAGTGGTCTGCGAAGAAAAGATAGATCTCAAGACGCTTTATCCGAATGATTATTAGGACTCAGCAGATATTTTCGATATTTATAGATAAAAGCGGTTCTTCATTCTGTTCCTTTTCCAAAAAATAAAAAAATTAAAAAATACATAAATATAAATTGCCGTTTAAATTTAGTTTTCCATGTTTTGTAAAAGTGCTTATTTTGTTGCTTTACACGGCAATGAGTCCTAAATATGCGCCGAAAGCTAAGAGAGGTTTTTAAATCCGCGTTGATTTTTCTTTTTACGCATTTTGCGCCAAAACTAAACACATTTCTAAGTGGATGTTTTATATGAAAATGGGCGTATTTTAACGCTCTATCCGGCAATGAACCCTGGAGTTTCACAGCTCAAGCTATTCTCGAATTGTGAGCCAAAAGTTTGTCTCTTTAGAGGTTGGACATGTTGTTGCTGCTCTAAACAGAAAAAATCACCACTGAAAAGTCCTCCGAACTTTACCCGACAGATCACTTTTCACGTTGTCTTATTTTGGCTTCTATCGCTTTAGTGGTTAGGATTTTCTGGCAAAACCGGTCTGGGTGAAACATATTTCTCCTTACGGGCTCCAAGGGTTGTTTTTAAACAGTTTCGGAAACAACTTTTTCAAACCCGGTATTTTTGGTCGACATTCTCACTGAGATGAAACTCGCTGGAGTAAATCAACAAGTCTTTCCTCTTACTTACTTGTAGAAAGTGTCTTAAGGGGATCGCGACAATTTTACAAAGGCAAATTACTGCGATTAGTCAATGTGTGGGCTGAAATTAACCAAAGCGGATCCCATTCCATCGAGATTCATTGGATCTAATGCGCAAATCGATCCCAACTAACAGAAATTAATCAAAGATTATCCGCGTATCGGTTTGCATTTTACCCCGGAAATGTCGAGTGGGTTTTACGCAATTCGGCTAATCAAATATTTAATCGAGCAAGCCGATATTACAACCTGAAGGATCCCACGGCAGTTGTTCTTGCGAGCAAAACACTCAAAAACGATCCAGAGTGGATGAACATGCCTGAATAGAGTTAAGGTTGGAAAGTGATCGCTGGTCCGATTCGGACACAACTGGGCCCCCCATTTGCCGATAAACAGTCTGTAATTTAGGGCTCCAATAAAGTAACGGAAAAAGGCACCTGATTAGCGAAGAATCGTTTCTTGAGCCCTATCGAGCGTTCCCCTAATATCGGGCCATTTATACGCAACGAGCTCCTCGCATATCGCCCATATATCAAAAAGCAATCGCCCGATTCACTGGAGGGATTTAAAACGTTCACATCACTTTTGATCTGATTTACAGCGAAATTTTATTTTATTTCATTTCCTCGATCGTTTACCGGGAAGCCGCTGTCGGATCGGCCCCCCCATAATCGTCAGTTTGTTTTGTCATTTGTTTGCATTAAACGCACCACATATCAATCGGGCACGAGGATTCTATTCTATTCCGAATCGCTCTTCACTGATTTTTCGTTCATTAAAACGCCCAAGTAGAGAGCGATATTTGCTGCTATATTTTTAGAGGTTAGGATTTTTGAGGCAGCTAGTCAAGACGCCTTGCTCAAAAGGTCCGTAGGACTACCCTCATATTTTTCGCTCTTGGCCAGATATTTGCGAAAATCCGGAAAAATCGGGAAATATTGCTTAGGTCTTTTTAGAGGTTAACATTTTATGTTAGGCTTGAAGCGGAAAGATTGTCCTCCAGACGGTCTATTGAAAAGGTTCTTATTCGCATCTAGCTAGCTTCGCTAGGGTGGCGCAAGATTATTGCAATTTATATTATTTTATATATATTTTGGCATAATCTTGCAGATTATGCCAAAATTTCGTGTTTTACGTCCCGTTTTTGCTCATATCTCGGAGGCAAAATGAGCTTCTTGAGCGGCTGCAACGCAAGATTTTTTAAAACCGGCTGCTTGGTTAAACAGTAATTTTTCAAAATTTGCCGAATTTGCTTGCATCCTGGTTAACATTTTTATGCGGCTTGAACCGGAAAAGAATCTGCTACGGGATTAAGTAAAGAAATCGATGAAACGGGAATCAAATGACTTAACCCTATAGAAATGAAGCGAGAGATTGTATAATATAAATTAGGAACAAAGAGACGAGCGGAGTGAAGGAGAGAAGGACAGGGTCTTTCGAGCCAACATTTGCCGGAATGGAAGCTAAACACAATTAGCAAAATCGCTTCGTGAGCGGGCCGAGAACGACGCCAAAAGAGCAGGAGAAAGCTCATCCGCAATTCGCTGATGTTCATTGTTAGGCATAATCCAATTACAGTTCATCAAGAGTTGGCTGTTTTCAGCGAGGCCGCTTAGATGAGCTGCAATTTGCATTTAATTATCACATATAATGCGCACCGAACAGTCAGTCCAAACAGTAATCCATGTAACCGTGAAATTGGACCTCGGATCCTATTTAAATTTGTTATTCGTCGGCCGTGTGCTCTCTAAGCTGGCTTTTTCATATTTGGGATGCCGATTCGGTCGGCCATTTTGTGCCGTTGTCGACACAAAATCGCCGTTTTTTCGCTTGTTTACTCGCTTTTAAAAACGTTTTATTATCGTCATACTGAGGACCAATAAAAGATACTCTCTGCAGGCGACTCAGGTGGATCGACGCAGCAAAAGCCCCAAAAAATCCAAAAAACAGCACTAACAAACGG